TCCCTTTCCCTCTACCTGCCTTTTAAAACCATGTTTACATTGCTGATATGTTGCAGCAACACCACCACGGTTTGCAAACCAAAACATCTGAGCATCTAAAGTGGTTTGCACTTCAAACTCCTTCAGATAAGGGCACTGGAACTAAATGGAGCTGGCTCTTACTCTAATGCCCCCCCCCCCCCCATGCCCTTGCTCATGACCCCCTTTCCCATCATGACACTTCCTGCCAGCTTGCCAGATAGAGAGCCAGTGAGCGAATGGACAGTGGCATCTCTTGCTTCTCTTCCTTGCCATCCCGGTTGCCTGAGCGAGAGACAGGCGGGCAAGCAGGTGGTGGGGATGGAGAGGAAGAGCAACCCCAAGGACTCGTGCCCCTGGGCCCCTCCTGGGGTGGAGGTCCTTGGCAAGTGCTGAGCCTTGTCACCCCTGGGGCTTTCCTGCTGGGGAAGGGGAAATTGCTTCCTGCTGTGCAGACTTACCAGAAGCATTTGGGTGTCTGATATGGGCTTTTGGAAACCCTTGGGCAAGACTTCTCCATCAGTGGGTCCATCTTCTCATGGTCTTTACCACCAGTCGCCATTCCTCCACCTCTGCTCTATCTTCTCTGCCAAACGCTTGCTGAACAGGAGAGAGCCATGGAGAAAGCTCGCCAGGGCATCCACTGCTCCTTTTCCTCAGCAGCAATGTTACCTGGGCCAGGTGAGCCAGCTGGTGGCAGGGGTGAAGGGAGGAGCTGTCCCCAGATGGATTCTGCCAGTGGGCCTCCGCTGAGGGTGGGTCCTTACCCAGCCATGCCCACCCCAGTTGCCAGCCCGCAGCACTCCAAGTCACAGCCCCTTTGGCAGAGTTCTGACAAGAACCTTCCATCATCATCGCCATAATTATATCTGGGACTATTGGATGTCATTTTATAAATCATGTAAATAAAATAAAATAAAATAAAATGAATCACTTTGTTGTTATTGCTTTCATAGGCATAGTGTGCTTCCATAGCCAAAGCTCTCCGGGTGGTTTACAACAATCCATAAAAAGGAGACAATAAAATATAACAAAAACCCATAACATTTATATCAACACTTTAAAAACAGATAAAACATGCACCAGCAAATGACTCTGCAAAAGAAATGCCTGGGATAGGTAATCCTCTGGAGTTCCTGAGTGGCCAAGTACATTTGGAAAAGCCCCCGGCATAAAGGGCTGTGTTAACCTGGCACTGAAAAGATGACAAGTTTGGCCCCAGGTGGGCTGCAGTGGGGAAGTTCTCCCATAGATGGGGGCCACGACAGAGGAAGCCCTCCTCCTTGTTGCCTTCCTTGGCACTCAGAGGAAGACCCCAGTGGTTGAGCGCAGGGTCCAAGTAGATTGTGGCCAGGAGAGGCGCTCCAGCAGGTACTGTGCCCCCAAGCCATTTAAGCCTTTGCAGGTTAAAGCCAGCACCTTGAGTCACACCTGGCAGTACTCACTATGGTACAGTTGGTGGATTCACCATAATTGGTGGGACAACAGCTCCAAAAGTGTTAGGTGTCACTGACTACTCACTTAGTCGCTTGGCCGCTAATCTACTGCACGGAGCCATTGTGCAGATGAAATGGTGTGTGTGTGAGGCAAACATGAATGGCGTTGATACGAACACGTTGCACCAGCAGTGCCAGCCCAGGTGTCCGAGGGCTCTTCAGCAGAGCATTTCCATGAGCCCCGTCCCTCAGGGATTCTCCCTTCTTGGCCCTGTTGCTGCGGGTGGCGGCTCCTCCTCCTCCTCACTAGCGCTTGCTTGCTTGCTTGGCAGGCCGTGAGCTGGTGAGTAGGAAGGCCACGGCGCCTGCTGCTCCTCCCCATCACCACTCCTGCTGTCTGAGCTAGGACAAGCGTCAGGAAACAGGCAGGTCATGAAGTGGGGGAGAAATTCCAGCCGGTTCTCACTGGTGATCCCTGGTGGTACGTGGCCCTCAGCAGGTGCCCAGCTGAACATGGGCCTGTCCCTGGGCCCCAAAGTCCGGCCCCAGTTGCGTCCTGAGCCCTGACCCTGACTGAATACGCTGAGCAGCCACGGCTCTCCCTGACTCTTTTGTGTGGAGCAACGCCAGGCGAAAGATGCAAAATCCATTGTAGCTAAGGACGCATATTTTTGCCTGCATATATCCCCCATCTGCAGACACCAAAACCTGCCAAAAAGGAAGACGAGAAGCCTGATCGCACTTTCCTGCTCTCCTGCTCTCTGTTTGCTCCCAAGCTTGTTAAACCAGAGCACCTGATTTGACCGATTTGACCAGGAGATAACTGCTCACCTGCCCCATAGGTAGAAGGCAGGAATCTTGTGGTGGTGGACCAGGTTCAACTGGATTTGGATAGCCTCATCTCAAATTCTGTCTTGCTGAGGCAGTCCAACCTGACTGGCAGAATTCCAGTGGCCTCCAGAGCTTTATTGATGTGAGAAGCAGCTAACGTTTGGCCTGCAAAGGGTAGTGTTCCCACCAGCTGGGCTTGCATCAATTACATTTAGCTCTTGCAGTAGTAGACCTTTAGTTGTGGTGGCTTTATGTGAATCCAAGCCATTAAGAAAGATGGTGGATCAGATATTTTGAATATTATTAAGCACTATATAAAATGAATTATCCTTGGCAGTATGGCACATGCCGTGCTTCCTTGCGGAATGCAAACACTCTAACTCTTCCTACGACACCGCTGAAATTCCAGTCATGGACACGCAGCAAGCAAGCTTCTCTGGCAGAATCGTGCATGTTTTGCTTGCTTTCTAGATGTTTAACGGCCGGCTCAGGGCTGTCGGCTGGAGGTTCCTGACCCCAGACCCAAGGCGTGTTGCTTGAGTAAATATTTGCATGTCTTGCTTTGCTTTGCCCACCCTGAGCAAGCAGCTTCCAGGGTTTGGTCAATTAGCCCAGTAGGCAGTGTTTGATTTGAGGAGGAGCAGGGGGCGAATGCAGCAAGGTGGGCCACTATGGTCACCTCAAGCAATGCAAACACGGAGACAATATTTATTTATTTATTCCTCAATATGGAAATCAGAAAGAGGCGCTCTTCACGCATTCGGCATTATTCAAGCAGCCTGGGAAGAGGGAGTGTTTGAGGATAATAGATAGCATCCAGTGGGAAGTGAAATTGTCTCCTTGTTCCAATGGATTCCTTTTTGTTTATGTCTTGCATTCTAGAATACCTCTGAAGGGATGACTTGGACTCTGATGCTGTGGAGACAGGACTGGAGCCAGAGGGTGGAAATTGCAGGGAAGCAGATGAAGCCGAAACATTAAGAGAAGCTTCCTAATGGTGCATGCTACCTGGCATTCTGCTAGACTGCCTCCAGAGGTGGTATGTTCTTCCTGCCTGGAGGTACTTTCGCAAAGGCTGGGTGACCGCGTCACAGGGATGCTGGAGTTGTATCCTGCAGTGCAGATCCTGCAAGGTTTGGCCCTCGTGTCCTCTAAGGCCTCTTCTAACAATACAGTTCTATATGTCTATGATCTACATTCCATCTCCCACCAGGAGAGCACATGACCCCCCTCCTCTCTATTACATAAGTCAGACCGATGCAGACAACTCCACAAACCCTCTGCTAGTTCATTACTTGTTCACGCAGTGCTTTCATTGCATGGGCACGTTCTGAATTTGAAGTTGTTTGAGTGAAAGTGAGTAAGGGCCTTCTCTGATACGCGTCTGAGGCAACAGCCACTGGGGACAGCCAAATGAGGGGAAATGGAGTCTGCACCTCTTTAGGATGGCTGTAAGGCAGCAACTGCCTTGGGGAATGCTTTAGGAAAGGAAAGAACAAAGGTCTTGCCATGAAGTGGCTGTAAGGCTCATCAACCTCTTTCATCTCACCACTGCTTTCCCTTGACAGCTTTCCTTCTGACAGCTGTCAAAAGAAAGCAAAGGAAAGTGAACTCTGTTTCAGCCCTCTTTGGGGCCTGGGCCAGGGCCGGTACCTGTTGTACCCTTCTGCCCTTAAGCCACCAAACATCTGATTTCCACAGTCACACAATGGAACTCCTGTGCATCCGTCCAAATCGGGCTGGTTTTGTTTCCCAGCTGCTGGCAGCTCCTCAAAGCTGCTGCTGAGGCCCTCCAAGGGGGCTGTCAGTTGCAGTCAGAAAGGAGATTCTGAAAGCCATCTGTCAAGCTGGGCAGTGTGATCCCAGGACAAAAGGGTGAAGGGGCAAAAAGCTGCAGTGAGTCAAAACTGGCCTGTGATTGCAAGCAAGAAGGGGGGGGGGGAGATGTTGGTTCTGCTTGTGGTGCCCCTGGGATACCCTTGATGGAGTAGGAAGTGGAAAGAGAGGCTGAACAACCCATGGTGAGCTTGACCACCAGTTGGGCAGATTGTAGGTTGTTCACGTGCTCATACTGCCCAGGATCTTTGTAATGCCTTCTGAAAGCCCAGCCTTGGAGCGTCACCATTTTCTAGCCTAGGGGACAGCTAGATGGGCAAGAAATACCCTTAATAAAAGCAGTGACTCATTCTTTGGCCCTCTTATTTTAATGTTTGGCAAGTCCGCATGTACGAAATCCTTTTGCATCGTTGCTCTTGCAGCGAAATTGCAGCAATGTGCAGCCCCTCTGTTTTGATCCCGGTCCCTTGCTGCTCCTCCATAAAGGTCTCCAGTTAAAACAAGAGGAATAGGAGGATCCGAGTAAGGGGATAACAGTAGTCTCTTTGCCATCATATTTAGGGAAAAGTGCTGCACTTGGGCAAACATGGGGTTATTTGCTTTTGAAAAGTGTTTGTAGACTTTAATCCAAAGTCCTTGGAGAGAGAAGGCCAAAGGCCAGTAAGTGTTTGACTGAATTCAAGTTTCTCTTCTTGGTCTCCCTCTTCAGATTCCTGGTGCGGCTTGTCTTTGAAACATAAGATTTGCCTATTCCTGCCCAGCCAGTGCTATTAGCAGTATTATTATCTGCTTCCTCGCAGCCAATGAGGGTGGCGGAAACCTGGTGACGACATGAGCTAGGGAACAGCAAGGAGGCAGTGAAGCATCCAGGCTATTAATGTTAGGATTGGAGGTCAGAAGCTGCTGTACAGGGAAAGCAGACAGCCTTTTAATGGACTAAGCTGGGAGTGTGCCTTTTCTTTTATTCTCCCCCCTTCCCTGCATTGCTTTCGATGACAACGCCAGACCTTCCGGGGCTGACGGTCTGGGTGCAGCATGACAGGACAGACTGCAGGTAATGTGGCTTCCCCCCACCCGTTCTTTGCCATCTTTGCTGCCGTTACACTGGAAACAGGGATGGCCTGTGGAGCTCCTCTCCCAGCTGCCTGCAAGCTACCTGACCGTCACAGCCGAGGGTTCTTCCGCCGGGTACCAAAGGCCTCCTTCCTCTTGGCCACAAATGCAGGGCAGGAATGATCCCAGACAATGCTTGTGCGTGCGTGTCTGTGCGGAAGGCAGCGAGGATGTGTGCAAACCCGGCTGTGGAGAAAGGCTCTTGCGTTTCCTTCGAGGCATCCTTCATTTCTCCTCTCCCCGTTCTGGATTTGTACATATGATTTTTAGTAGCAGTGTTCAGGCTGGAAAGATCTAGAAATGGGTGTCTTATAGCAGATTAACTCCTGAGGGAAGGATGGTGTGTGTAACGCGGGCAGCGAAGGCTGAAGACTCCCTTGCATGGACTGAAGTGTCAACACAGATATCCGCAACTGCTTGTTGTTTGGAGGCTCAAGAGGGTCTCGGCCTTACCGCAGTATCTGTCACTATTATCCGTCCTGCTCTCTGTCTATCATCTTCGCGGCCAACTGCATTTGGATCAATTGATATTGCATTTTGTTGGGTTTCCCACCCTCAGGACTGGGAGGGTGTTTCTGGTGTTTCTCGCACGCGGTGCGAGTTTGTGATGCCCAAATGCAGCGTGTTTCTTCCACAGGGCTGCCCCTTTGTCCCGGAGTTGTGTGTCTAACTGTCACCATCAGCTCTCCTACTCTTCTGGCCACCTCCCTGTTGATCTCCCCTGTACAATTAGCCCCTTCTATTTCATGCCTGGTTTAGGATCCACTGATCTTCTGACACCCGGGGCAGAAGCCAAGGGGAAAGCAGGTCTTTGTGCAGGAGTGATAAGGGGTTCGGAAAAGATGCGCCAAGGGCTGAAAATGGAATTGTTTCTGAAATAGGCCAGTATGTGTGTCTTGGCCAGTCTCAGCAGCTGGAGGTTGGTTTGGTTTGCCTTCTCTAATGGCCACTTCCCTGCCAAGAAAGGTTCCTGGTCTGATGTGTCTAAGTAGGATGGACATCTCTGGGCTCTGCCCCATTCCCTGCAGCCAGGGGTGGCAACAACTTCCGTGCATTTCCGAAGAGAGTGTCCTTGTTGGTGTGTCTACGACTCACTTATTTTTTGGGAAAGCAATGGAAACAGGACTGAGCACTGCACATCCTCTCCTGTGGCTCCCCTTGGCACGACAGATGCTCATTTCTGGTTTGGGGCTTGACCAAATGATGCACCCTCTGCGGCACTTCAAGGGTGGGGTGGAGGCTTTGATCAGCATGTCAAAGACCACATGTGGGTCTGATAGGAACTATTGGGGGGTGGCTCAAGCCTGACTGGCTGCTCCAGGGTGGTGGGAGAGGGGCAGGAAGAAAGGAAGTGAGGGGAGTGGATGAAGCAGCCGTGTGCTTTAGGGAAGATAATAGAAAATGCTGAGCCTCGTGGGGAATGACTTCAAGTGGTCCCTTGGGCCACCTCCCCGATCCATAAATTAACATTCTTAATGCAGTTTATTTCTGGATGTTCCAGAGGCACAGCTGGTGGGATAGAGGGGGGACAGGAGAAGGAACATGGGTGGCAGATGATGTTGCGAGGAAAGCTGGATTTGCTGTGCAGATGAGAGTCATGAGGAGGACTGGAGAGAGGTCTAAGTGGGAGGGGGAAGCTTGAGGAAGACCAGGCGATCAGGCATCTGCAGGGAAAATGACGAGGAATGGAGCACACATTTCAGAAGAGCGAAATGGTGTTCATCAGAGGCATCTGAAGCTACTGTTGGAAAGACAAAGGAAAGAGAATTCCACATTGGTGGAATTCTAGCACAAGGAGTCTCAACGGAGTTCTACCGCTTGGGACTGCTATGTGACACTCTGCAGGTGTGTAGATCTTACACCTTGTGACGGGTAAGATGGTAACACAGATCTGTTCCTTTGTGTTTGGTTCTAAGTTTGACTGACGGCCTGTTCTAAGATAGGGAGAACAGGATGCCCCAACCCTGCAGGAGCTGCTGGTTAGATTCTTGTGTGGCTGGGGGGATGGCCTCAGGGGGTCAAATTCATTTGCTCCAACTTTAGTGGATCAGAATTTGGATTCCTGAAGGGCCACGGATGTCTGTGTTGGGCTGGCTGGCTGGTGTGTTCCCAGATCAGAGGATGGATCGTTCCTCCAAGTTTTGCTGGACAGTTTGCACTGTGTGGATGGAGCAAAGCTGATCTGGTCACCAGGCAGAGGAGAGGAGCTGTTTTGTTGAATAGCAAGTTTCTTTGGATTTTATTTCAGTGATTTCCTAGCTGTGAAGCCAGAGCTTCAGTTCTCATCTTTTCTCTTTGCGCTCTAATCAATACTGCCCCGTTTCTGGACAGAGCACCAACTAGAGAGTGAAACTGCATCTGAAAGAATGAACTGGCAAAGTAGAAAACATCCTCCAGATGTCCACCACTCCAAACAGCCCCAGTCAGCATGGTCCAACCTGATGCTCCCCAGATGAGCTGCATGGCAATTCCCAGGTTGTTTTATGCAGCAGTGACATTTTATATGCTATACAAGCTTTGGGGTGGGATTCATAGGAGGCTACCTGCTCCTTCATCTCTTTGCGAAGCCACTGTCATCAACCTGGGAAGTCCTGCTCTGTATCCCTACATAAACTGAAATAAGGTGGATGTCTTTGGAAATCCTCCCCCCACCCCACCAAAAAAAAGTTCACCTAGCAGTATTTCTTTGTTTTTCCATGCCAGGTGAGACTTATTCAATTTGAAGACTTCTTTTGGAGTGTAGCTTTTCCTTTTATGCTGGATTTGTTCTGTGGTTTGTTTTTCCTCCCTGCTGGTTCTGCTGTGTTGTGTTTTATGTTTTGTTTGTGAGCTGCTCTGGGATTCATGGCTGAACAGTGGCTGGCGAATAATAGAAAGTTCATTTTAAATTATATATTAGATTCCAGAGTATATGGATGTGTATCTGCATGCAGACATACTTGATTCAATTACACCGGGACTTAAATAGAACCTCTATCCTTTCCAGTGCAAGTGTAGAATTCACACAGCACTGCTTAACTAGGAAAGTATTGTCACAATCAGTGACAGCTTTTGCAAAAGGGTTATTTTGTTCTGATATTCTGTACTTTGGAGTCTGCATGGACATGTTGCAGACTTACTGCTGTCCTTTGGACCCTCTGCAGAAGTTGTTGCTAGACCCCAGAAACTTCATAACACAATAGGAAGTGACCTTATGGCCCACAGCAAGCACCTGAGGGATTGTGGGATATTTTGGATCCTTAGCTCCTGGATAAGACTGTGCTTTGACCTCTGAGCTGGGACTTGGAATCCCACCCCACTCCACCCTTAGGGCCACTGTAGGCAAAGCTGTGTCCGTTGCCCCTCTGTCCACTTCAAAGAGCAATGAAAGGGGGTGATTCAGTGGATGGGAATGGGAAGAGACTGAGATGCCAGGATGCGAGCTTTCGTGAGCCCCTTTCCTTCCCTCCCCACCCCAAAATGCAGAAAAGCCTGCCTAGAGAAAATGCTAGCCAAGGAGATGTTCCTTCTGACACCCATCCTACACCTCTCAGGATGCTCCTCAGCCTCCGAGTTCAGAAACTCTTGAGTGCCCTCAGAAGAATGTCCTTCGTCTTTAAGCATCTAGTAGCCTCGTGGTTGTTCCCACTGCAACAGATTAGCAAGATCAGCACCCTGGACTATCTTAAGGTTATTTTGACTGCTACCTGCCCAGGGAATGGGTTGAAAAAACGTTGGGTTGGAAGCAATTTTGGTTCCATTGCCATTGAGGCTGCTGCTGCCACTTTTGGTTGCACAGATGCTTACCGTTGGCCTCTGCAGGTTCAATGTGGAACCTGAGAAGGTTATGGGATGGATTGTGCATTTTCAGGAAGAAGCATGGAGAAAATCTGCGCTGACACTGAGTGACATGTGGTCCAGCAAGCTGCGCTCAGGGGCTCCATGCAGACCACAGGGCACGATGGACTTTGTCATTCCTTTCTCCAATTTCGTTCCTCCACTCCTTTGAGGATTTTTATTTTTTAAAGTTCAAATTAAAATTTGTTTCATTTCTGTGCACACTTCTTCGAACATACTGCTCCCATAGGTCATTTCGCCTCATATGCATGTTTCCCCAATGCACAAACTTTTGCATGAGCCTCTTTTCCACAGATTTGAGGGCATGCTTTGATCAGTGAATCAGAACAGCAGGATTCTGGCTAATGCAAATTTTGAGGGATCGCGAACTTTTGGGTTACTTATAGGTTTGAGAAAATGAGATTCAATGATGTTGCATTACAGTGTGAACCTAGCACGTGTTTCCTTCACCCGTACAGATTATAGGAATGGTAGGACATGAGGGGAAACACTTGGCAAGGAACCCCTTTACCGATCTGGCTAGTGCACCCAGTACTAGGCAAATGCCCGGGGCAACCCCAAATGGCACACGGCCAGACCTGTCTCCAAGTCCATCGAGAGGGGCCCCGGCATGCTCCCGCCTGCCCCTTCATTCTTCCTCTTGTCAAAGAGGAACATGATGAAGGAAGCAGGAAGGTCTTTCCTGAATATTGTGCATGAACGGCTGTAACAAGAAACACATTTCTGTTAGACTTTTTAAAAAGAAAGCTTTTATTACATATTATACAAACACAATGCAACTTGGTTAATGTTTTCAGTCCAGTAACTTTTAAGCAAGATCTGTATTCTTTTCAACGCCACACTCTTAGTACTACTACTGCTTCTGCAAAATGCTTTAAAAAGTACAAAAATATGACTCAATGACTGCCAATATATACATTTAACCCTGCTTTAACTATAGAGTTAATTTTTAAATCTGAACTTGTTTCATGTGTACCCATAGCCAAATGGCATTTTAACTCATAACAACAAAAATAAAAACAACCATCTTTTTCCAACCATTGCAAAAGATATTTGCTTCTTGCTCTTGTCCCAGATCTGTATCTATTTGGTTAATTTTGCAAT